CAGTATTGACTGGCAAAGGTATAAAGTTAGGAGTATACTTACGTGGCACGGCTGGACATGCTTTAAAGAATTGCACAGCCTCATGTAATTCGTTGTCATCAATTTCAATGACTTGAGGATTTTGTGTCAAAACCTTTTCTAATAAATCTGTACCATGAGTTCTATTGAAAGTAGTTTGCACAATTTGATCCAATGTATCAATACGAAAGCATTCATGTTCATCATTAGGAAGTTGCAAAGCATCAAATACCTTGAACGTCATCGTTTCCCCTTGAACTGTCATTGACAATGTTCCTTGTCGAACATCAATCTTAGTACCTGCAGTGGCCATGAAAGGGCGACCAAGGATCAATGGGAGATCCACACCCGGAATAAGGGCTTCTTCCATTTCTAGCACCAAAAAGTCAGCTGGTAAAATGAGATCATTTACTTTCACCAGTACATCTTCCAGGATTCCCCTTGGATATCTCACTGAACGATCTGCCAATTGAATGCTGACAGAAGTTGGTTTAAGATCACCTAATTTGAGGGCTTCACAAACAGAATAAGGCATTAAATTAATTGAAGCACCTAAATCAATTAAAGCTTTCTCAAACAATTTATCACCAATTATACAAGGAATTGCAAAACAGCAGAAACCTCTTCCATTAGTGCAACCATTTCATGATCTTTGAATTTTCTCTTGTTGGTACAAAGGTCCTTCAAGAACTTTGCATACCTTGGAATTTGCTTAATTGCATCCAAGAGAGAAATGTTGACTTGCACCTTTATGAAAATTTCCAATATGTCCTTGGCATGTTGATTTTGCTTGGAACTCGTAAACCTGTGAGGAAAAGGAGCATGTAAGATATCTTCATCAGTATGTTCATGACATACCTTCTCCTTCCTTGCCCTTCTCCCAATTTCATCCTTTGGGATCCATTCAGATGAAGAAGCTGCTTGTTTATCTTCCTCCATGTTGATTTCATCTTTTTCATTAGTCCCAGTCACTTGCTCAACCTGTATCTCATCATCATTTTGAATCAGACTTGTAGAATTATCAACCTCACCAATTACCTTACTAGTTCTCAAGATAATTGCTTGAACATGCTCATGCCCAGCTGGTATCACTGTTTGGCTAGGCATCATCCCAGCTTCCCTTTGATTCAAGGCTGTGGCAATTTGTCCCACATGATTTTCTATGGCCTTGTTTGTTTTCTGCATGTGGGTGTCATTCCATTGCATGTAGCTTTCTGTCTTCTTCATGAAAGTATCTGTGGTTCTAGCCATAGAAGCAACAAGTTCTTCCAAAGATTGTCCTGCAGGTTGTTGGTGAGATTGGCTTGAGCTTGGTTGGTGAGGTGGTGGTGGATTGTAATGTAGGACTTGACCATGAGGGGGGTGAGTATTGTGTTGGCCTTGATATGGTTGAGATGGCCCTTGTTGAACATTTGAATTGTCGCTCCACCTGAAATTCGAATGGTTTCTCCACCCTGGATTGTATGTTTGTGAGAAAGGGTCATTCTTAGGCCATTAATTTTTCTGAAATGAGCCCAATGCATTTGCTTCCTCCATCACCAAGGGGCAAGCTTCAGTTGCATGATCTGTTGTGGTGCAATAGGCACAAACCTTGGATGATTTCGGCATCAAATTTTTTACCAACTTGGTCAGGTTTGCCATTTAAGCTTCCATATTAAAAAGAGAACTTATCTCATAAGATCCAGTTCTTCTAGATGGATTTTGCCTGAAGTTGAATTGGCGAGAATTTGTAGCAACAAGCTCAAAGATCGCTCGTACTTGTGTTGGAGTCTTGTTCATTATAGTTCCTCATGCAGTTACATTCACATTCATTCGATCCGATTCAAAAAGTCCTTCATAGAAATTCTGCATTAGGAGCCATGCTTATATGTTATGATGCGGACAAGAAATTAGAAGCCTCTTGTAATGGTTCCAATACTCATGGAAGTTTTCTCCCTCCCTTTGCAGAATTCCCGTGATCTGGTTTCGAATTTCATTTGTCTTATGTGATGAGAAGAAGTTTTGCCAGAATTGTGCAGCAAGATTCGTCCAAGTTGTGATGGAGTTAGGTGGCAGGGAATGAAGCCATTCTTTTTCTGTGTCCTTCAAATGGAACGAGAAAAGTCTCATTCTTATTTCTTCATCATTCATGCCATCGATTTTTATTGTGGAACATACTTCCTCAAATTCTTTGATATGCATGTTAGGATTGTCTCCAGGATTCCCAAAGAATTTAGGCAATAGATGTATCATGCCCGATCTCAACTCAAAGTTATTCAATGTAGTCACGGGATATACTATGCAAGATGGTTGTCCAGCTGCTTGAGGTGACGAATATTCTTGCATAGTAACTTCCACATTTCTAGCTGCGGCCGCCATTGGTGATGGTGGAGGTGACTCGTCCCTAGGTGAGATTGGTGTTGATGAAAACGGCGAGAATGATATAGGCAATGGAGTAGACACAACTAGTTGGATGTTCCTTTCTCTCAAAATTTGAGCTCGGATATCTTCTAATGTGCAATCAAGTGAAATATCTAACTCTAAAAGGAACATATGCAAATTGTTCATGTAAGAAAAAGAAACAAAAACAAATTAAGATAAAATGAAACAACAAACAATAAATGAAAATGAACTAAACACTCTAAATATACTCAAACAAAACAGATAAGCAACCGTGCCAGTTCCCCAGCAATGGTGCCAAAAATTGTTGTATTTAATAACTGACACAAGTTAATGTGCAAACATCCAATTAAAAATGCCCGCAAGTGCACGAATCTATTGAGGTATAGATTACATAAGTGCGGGGTCGATCCCACGAGGAACTGTCGGCTTCCTACAAGTTCTAATTTGAGTACGTAAAGAACACTTATTTAACACACCACAAACAATCAAGTGAAATATCTAACTCTAAAAGGAACATATGCAAATTGTTCATGTAAGAAAAAGAAACAAAAACAAATTAAGATAAAATGAAACAACAAACAATAAACGAAAATGAACTAAACACTCTAAATATACTCAAACAAAACAGATAAGCAGCCGTGCCAGTTCCCCCGCAA